AAAAAAAATTGCCCCAAAAGTCTGGACACAAACAGTTATGGCCAATGTGCAATTATTACATGAAGTTCATATTAGTCGTGCAATCGCAAATGTTGAAAATCATATTGCAGATGACATTTGTTAATATTCCAATTGGTAAAATGCAATTTCTTGAAGATTTGCATTTTTGTCTGTGAGTGCAGATTTTAGGGACACCCTGGTAAATATCGCACAGGAGCTGCCATAAAAAGCCCTGAAATAATTGACCTACAGAAGCTACTAATACATTAAAATAAAACAATTGTTCAGAATTTAGTGAGAAACAAGGAGAAAGGAATAAAGATCCTCGCCACTGTATTACACCCAGACACCATTTTAAATATTTAACCAGGCAGACATGCTTGACTGTGACACCACTTGAGGTATTTTTAAAAAAGCATGCTGCTTGGGCTGAATCAAGCAGTCCTTTTAGCTGACAGATGGTAAATATTAATAAAAATAACAGATAAAAGACAAGTGAGGTCCCAGCCTGCAGGCTTTGTGCACATGGAACTGCCCGCTTCCGTCGGGCTTCCTTTTAGTGCAATCTGGTCCTCATGAAGCAGGTCACCCTGGCTGTCAGTGCACATTTTACGACTTGCACTAGCCATGCAATGCACTGTGCTGCCATTTGGCACACATGCATGCACACTGTCACAGCAGCGCATGCTGAGACGAATAAGAGCGAGTCGCCACATGATGGTGATGGAGTGAATGAATACTTGAAAATTGCCACCTGTTCCTCTTAATTCAACACACCTTTCCATGTGTGAGGTTAACAATACAAGAAAAAGACCACATTAAGCGCCTTCGTCTTCCGGTTCGTTACAAAAAAAAAATCATCCGATAGCAGCCTGTGTCGGGCCCTATTGTCTCTCGCGTTGGACAAGCAAGACGGCTAGCGGCGAAGAGGAGCCACTCGCAGCAATGCAAACAAATTGCTTCGTCACTAACCTGAAGACGCGACGACGTCTCTTCGGGAGGCAGCTAATCTCGCCTAATTTCAACCAAGTAGTTTCTGACACGGCGGTGGCGAGGTGAGCAGATTGTTCTGGGTGCCTCTCCTCCTCTCCTGTCCTTCCCTCTGGCTCCCCTACTCCCTCCTTTTCTTTTCCTCCGTTACCAAGGCGACACGAGAGGAAAGAGGGCGTGGGACGATTCTGTGCGCATGCGCAATACGTCCACACCGCAAAGGGCGAGTCGCGCGTTCAACCGGACGTTTAATGATTACACTTATAGACAAAAATCAACTGGACAATTTTGTCCTCAATGAGTCAAACGTGCGTGTTTTCTAAACGTGAGAAGCTAGCATGGGGACTTCACACAGGAAGGCCAAAATTTGAACCCTGAACCTATTTATGATAAAATAAAAACAGATTGAAATACAGTGGTGAAATGTCATTACCTGCGCCCCCATCCCCCAAAGGATTGCAATGTGTAATTGTATTTGGAAAAAGTAGCACTCCATAATAATTTATGCTAGAAAAACATACAGCAAGTTCAAGTTTTTTT